ACAGGAAAAACTTTGTGTAGGCGATGTAAACAGTAGTGTGTGTTTGGTCTTTAAGAATCTTGTTGCGGTTATGTGATTCATTTAATTGTTCTTCTTCTGTGTTTTGATATGGATCATTTGCCTACGAATCGAGCTACTCTCTAGCTATATTAAACTTAACGTAAATACTTTTTCCTGGAATCAGTCTTGCAATTACGCACTTTTCCAAGTTACACGATCAATAATACTAAAACAAGACATTACAAAGATTTGGCTCAAATATAACCCTTATTGCAATGCATTTCCAATACTTAACATTGATATGGCTTCACTAGGGGAACTAGCGAGCTGCTTAGGTGCATGGACATTACTTCGTTGGTCGAACCAACGAGCTTACCACCAATGAAGACTGCTGGAACCGGCTTTGAACAACCTAACCTCATTAGTGCGTTCTCGATCTCCCGGCATTCGGGGTCCTTATCGATCTCGTGGATCTTAGGGCTAACACCGAGATCCTGGAAGAGAACTTGAACCGCGTAGGACAAACAACACGAGCTCTTGGTGAATATAACCACTCCTTTTTCGGACGACATTCTCATAACCTTGTCCATTTTTCTTGAAAAAACACTCAAGTGAACAAGAAAAGATGGATTCAAAGCTAGGAGCTTGAGCTCGGTGTTGCTTGTGACTCTAACTGCTTGAGTCGCATGCTATTTATAACAAGACAGAGGAAGAAGAATCAGAATCCACACGTACTGAAAGATAGACAAAGACTACAACAGGATCGTTGAAAATGTGCGATGATTCGATGAGACCGAACCTTTTCTTACAAGGACCAAGAAGAGTTGTTGCATAAATGATTAATTTAAATCTTCCATGTTTTTCTTTCTTTCTTGTAGATTCAAAGATACGGTCTCAACGATCCTCCTACTAGTTGCAGAAAAGAGACTCCATTGATTGATGCTTTTGGACCAATTTGATTTATCCTCCAGATTCTATGGATATTGGACATGGAATCTTTGTGGACCAAACTGCAAACAAAAACAACCCACTTGCATTCAACTTTTCATAGCTATTTGGACTTGGTTCGATCTTAAGACAGAAACTCACATTTTTTGCCAAATTTTGTATGAAGAAAATTTTGATTTAATGTTAACAAAACTGAAACGAAGTAATAAGACTGGAGAAGAGAATCAGATTCTTTCAGGGGTGTCGTTTTTGGCGCCATATAAATCCGATGAG